CACACATAAATAAATAAAATAAAAATTTAAAAAAAAAAAAAAGTTCTGAGTTTATCTGCAGCACAAAGAGGAAGGTGGAGGAGAAGGAGAAAAAGATGCCATTATCCCAGAAAAAGCCAGAGCATTCACTGAAAACTGAAAAAAAGAAGAATTCTGAGTAGGGAGGTGGCAGGATTCCAAAAGGAGGCAAAGAGGAAAGTTGCACAGAAGGACCATCCTGCTCCAAGAGTGGGCGGGAGGCTAGACCCTGCAATTAGTAGACGTCATAATGGAGGCTTTGTTTGTTTGGGTATTTTCGAGACAGGGTCTTGCTCTGTAGTCAGGCTGGCCTTGAACTCACTGTGTAGTCCAGCTGGCCTCAAACTTTGGATCCTCCTGCCTCAGCCTCCTGAGCTCTGCTGGGATTATGGAGGCACCATAGCCCAGAGGTGCCACCGTACCCGGCCATAGAAAGCAATATTTATGTCACTACGCTTTGTCTCTCAGCTTACTTCCAATTGTTCTTCTCAGTGACTTGGAACTATGCCGCGTTACTCATTCATTCGCTCACTCAATATAAACAGCATTTGGGTCAGCCTTATCGTCTGTGCCAGGCACTGCGCGAGATGCGTGGTGAGCCAAAGAATTAAAAGAGCCCACTGCAAAAGCAGTTAAGTCAGTGACCACCTCACGCAAGGCGCAAGACCCTCTGTGCCAGAGACCCCTGCAGGGCAAGCAGGGCTCCTCCCCAACAGGCTGTTTAGCATCTGTTGGGGAAAGACTCTGCTCCAGCTGATTCAGCCCTGTGAATAACGTGGCTGACCCCTTGTGTTCCTCAATGCTAGGTCACTGTGACAGAACAGGTGAGAAAATCGACTTGAAAGAAGGAAAGGCCGAGTTTGGCTCCTGGCTTCACAGGGTTCCATCCATGGGGACGCAGAAGTGCACGGTGGAAATGTGTGACAGAGGAGGCTTCTTTCCTGTGATAGAAGGAAGCAAAAAGCAGAGCCAGGAGAGGCCAGGGCCACGTAGCCCTTTCGAGGGAGGGCACAGCCTGGGGACCTGACTTCCTCTCCTCATGCCCCATCCACCCCCAAGGGCTCCGTCTCCCAACACCAGCCCAGGCAGGGGCCGAGCTGTCCATGTAGGGGCCACTGCGGATGCAGCCCATGACACCGTGCTGCTGGCTCCTCGTGTGTAGCTAAGGAATCCTGAGGTTTCATCTTTTTTTAATTTTTTTTTTTTTAATTTTAGGGAAGGGTCTACAGGGTATTCAGGGTCTCACTACTAGATCAGACTCATAGTGATCCTCCTGTTTACAGCTTCCCAGGGGCTGGGATTACAGGCACACACCACCACACCCAGTCTCAATTGCTATCTCAGCACACCCCTGGGGCAGGACTGGCGTGACAGGACCACGGATCGAACCCCCAGCTCCTGCACTTCCTTGCAGGCACTTTAATCTGCTGAGCTATTTGGCCAGCCCATGTGATTTCATCTTAAGGCCTCATTAAGCCTGGCCCTAGTTGACAAACTGTCCTAAATTTCAATCTGTGCATCCCTAGTCCTTAGCACAGAACCAGGCTAGAAGTTCACAACAAATACTCAATGCACTGAATGAATCAGCCAAATGAGCTCTCTGGAGGCCATGGCCTCGCCCAGCCCAAGAGCGCATAGCCATGGAGAACTGCTGTACACCCCTCCCCTCCTCTCTGTCTTTTGTGTTGGGCATGGGCGGCTCATCCATTGAGCTCTGCACTGGTGCCAGAAACATCCGTGAGATCTGGGACTTCATTCCTTCTGTGGCTCAGACAGTGGGGGGAGGGTTATACGTGGTGATCTTCTCCATTCGTTGTTCATCGTCTCCCTGGAGGAGGTGGCCCTGCGCCCACTTCCTATCCACTGAGCAGCCGTTTTTGGGTTGTAGATGGACCGAGGCGAATTCCAGCAAGACTCAGTGCTGAAGCAGCTGGAGGTCCTCAAAGAAGAGGAGAAGGAATTTCAGAACCTCAAGGTAAGAGTAACCACAGGTTATGAGATGTGACCGTAGCACCTGGTCTTTACCTCGGGGGGTGCTAGCCCCAATCCACCCAAGAATAACAGGAAGAGAAGGGGAAGCCAGGGTAGAGGCTAGGGACAGGTGCGCCCCCTCCTAGAGGTGAGTGCTCCCAGCCAAGACACCCACTCTCCCCCACCAACACAAAGGGCTGAGAGTTAAGTCTGCGTTCCACCCAACTCTCCTCTCCCACTGCTCTTCACAAATAGATTTTAAAACTCACTATGTTCTGGACAAACACACACCCAAAAAGAAAGTCTGACCTTCAGTGCCCTGACATAAATCCAGTCAGGAGCTGCCAGTTCCTGCCATTTAGTGCCTAACTGACCCTGCGGCCACTTAGACATGAGCCAGCCTCTCTGCTGCTGGTGTCCCCGCTGTGGCATTAACCCTTCCTGCTCTGCCCCAACCTCCCCACTTGCTCTTTTCCTCTCTGCCCCATGACCAGTGAGGTCTCACCAACAGTGCATTCCCCCTTCTGCCCTCCAGGACCCCACCAACGGCTACTACAGCGTCAATACCTTCAAAGAACACCACTCGACCCCGACCATCTCCCTGTCCAGCTGCCAGCCAGACTTGCGTCCCACCGGCAAGCAGCGCGTGCCCACGGGCATGTCCTTCACCAACATCTACAGCACCCTGAGTGGCCAGAGCCGCCTCTACGACTACGGGCAGAGGTTCGTGTTGGGCATGGGCAGCTCCTCCATCGAGCTCTGTGAGCGGGAGTTCCAGAGGGGCTCCCTCAGCGACAGCAGCTCCTTCCTGGACACACAGTGTGACAGCAGCGTCAGCAGCAGTGGCAAGCAAGATGGCTATGTGCAGTTCGACAAGGCCAGCAAGGCCTCAGCCTCCTCTTCCCACCACTCCCAGTCGTCTTCCCAGAACTCCGACCCCAGTCGACCCCTGCAGCGGAGGATGCAGACTCACGTGTGAGGACCACACACCTTGGGTGGGGAGAGGCAGGGCAGGAGGCAGGGCAAGGACCAGGGATTCTGCTGCTGCCCTCCTCGGAAGCTCCGATCAAGCACAGACCTGAGTTCCTGGCTGCAGCAAAGCCAGAGGCCCCAGGGCCTGGGTGGGCGGGGAAATGGCAGTGGGGTGCAGTCAAGGGCACTGTGCTTGGTGCTGGATGCCCTGTCCCCCACCCCTCCCTAGGGGCCCCTCCACCATCTGCTCCTCCCATGGCACTTGTGGCAGCTATGACTTTCTTTCACGAACCTGCCGTCCACTCTCCGGTCCCCCCCTGGGCTTTCCCGCTACTGCCCGTCAGCCCTCCCCTCACCTGTGCTTCTAGATGGACCTGGGGAGGACAGGGAGCTCTTCACAGTCCTGAGCACTCCAGAGACCCCAGCTCCCCCTGCAGCTCGCAGCCCAGGCCTCGGTGGCTGACAAGCCAGGAATTGCCCTGGCCAAAGGAGCACACTGTCCAGGAGCCCACCCCCAGTGCGTTTGGTGTTTTGTGTCCATACTCTTTCGGTTCTGTCCTGGAAGTGGGACTGGTCCAGTGCCTGTGGGAAGCGGGAGGAAGAGGGAGGAGAGTGTGAACAATGCCTGCCTGGGGAGCCCTTCGCTGCCCACACTCCTTCCCAGGCCTGGCTCCCCTGCCCGCTTCCTGTACTCCCCTCCTCCCTGCAGCACAATTGGAGTTAATATAAGGAGTGTGTGAGTCTCTGTGGTCAGGGTTCTTTGCATAAGTCCTGGAGTGTTTCCTGAGGGTGTGGTCTGAGGGGGCTGGAGGCCAGGCCTTTCTGGGACTTGCTTTCTCAGCTGGTGAACACAAGAACAGTGATCCTGTCTTCAGTAGGACTCATGGGCAGGAGAGACAGTTCACCTGCACCCCAACACCCATCACCTGAGAATAAATGCTAGGCCCATCACCCCAAAAAGTCCATTCTGTTCTTTTGTTCCTGTGATGGCATGGGAAAAACTGCAGCACTCCATGTATGTCTTGGGAACCTGAGGCGCTGTGCCCTCTCTGGTCCAGTGAGCCCGGACAAGGAAGACCATTGCCAGGTCTTCTGGTGGTAGTCACAGCACCCACAGACAAACTCGCCTCCTTTGTACTCGGGCCTCACCCCAAGAATGGGGAAAAACACTAACCCCAGTTCCTGCCAAACATGGTCACGGCAACATGGCCAGGCTGGACACTGGCCAGGGCATTCTAGTCTTTACCATCAGCAATATTTTGCAAAGGAAAGTCCCTCCACTTCAGGCTTGTGGGAGGGAGGAGGCTTCCTGGGAAGGGTGTAGCCCACCAATGATGGGACGCAAATGTTATTCTAGGGGTCAGGGATATGGCTTAGCAGTACAATGCCTGCCTGGCAAGTGTGAGGTTGTGAGTTTGATTTCCGGTACCAAAAAAAAAGTCATGCTAGGAATGGTCTTGCTAGAGTGGGAAGCTTGGCATAGTCATGGCAGAAGAGGTGGGGAACAAAAGCAGGTTAAGAATGATGGATGTATACCTAAGGTTGGCGGTTCCCAGCTGGCCGTAAACCTTCCCTGGTAGTCTGTACTCATCATAAAAGCATCAGTGAAAATGTCTGTGTTTCTTCTCAGACATCAATTCCTTGGATGACCTCAGTCCACCAATTTGGACTTTTTATTTTTCCTTTTTGAGACAGTGTCATTATTCCAGGGTGGTCTTCCTGTGTCAGCCTCCCTAGTGCTGGGACTACAGACCTGAGTCACCACTCGGTTCCAGGGAACAGATTCCATTGCAGGGTCTTCGTAGCTTTTCCATACAAAGGACTTTCCTGCTTTGATCATGTATTCTAGTATTTCAAAACTACCCACATCCAGGAATATCCTCCTTTCCAGCTCCCAAGGGAGTAGAAACCCATCTGAAGTGAAAGTGCACATCTTAATCCCATGTTCTGGTTTGGCTACTGGCCTCTGGCCTCTTAAGGTTAATCTTGTCAAGTTTTCCCTTTTCCCATATAAATTGTCCCTTTGGCAATAAGAAACAAGCATCTGAGACCATATGCAAAATGCCTCTATGGGGCTGGCCAGATAGCTCAGTGGGCAAAAGTGCCTGCTTAGGCAGAGTGGATTGGCTGGGGTTCCAGCGTGCTATGCCAGCCCTGTCCCCGGGGCTCACTGAGATGACCAATTGAGACTGGGCATGGTAGCATATGCCTGTGACCCCAGCTCTTGGGAGGCTGAAAACAGGAGAATCACTGAGTCTGATCTACGTGGTGAGACCCTGGAGACCCTGTACTAAAGTACATAAACACACACACACACTGCTTCTATGCACTAGAAAGGGAGAAATGACTTTAAGATGTGCCCATTCATTTCTCTTCATCCTCACCTTGGAAGTGGACTCACAGTCTACCTCCTACCCCTACCAAAGCTTGCTTTGGCCTTGGCCCCTTGCCACCCTGCCCGCATAGGGTAGAAGTGTCCATTGTTCTTTAAAACTCAGGATTACGACAGAATAACCAGAAGAACAAGGAAGAAAGGTGTCTGTGAAACAAAATGAGCCATTCACCCTCGCACACTCCCAGGGTAAGAATGTAAATGGTCATGGAAGATTACCAAGAAGCAGCAAGCAGCCATGGTCAGACAGACTCCATGAAGTCCAGCATGCTGAGCTCTGGGCACCCACAGATACCACAGGAATCACCCGAGGGGTGGGGGCCTCAAGTATAGGCTTCATGAGAGGGAGCCGCACAGAGGGAAAGTGCGAGGGTGGCCTAGGGTTCTCTTGGCCATTGAGCAAGAACTCTGAGTTGTGAAGCTTAAAGCATCAGACTTAAGATAGAAATCAAACACACAGGTTTAGATGCCACATTGCTTCTCCTAGTGAGAAACCCAAAGGGTCAGTGAGAGGCATAATGGAGGATAGACATTAGGGGGCAGGAAGAACATGGGAAGGGAAGTGAGAGAGGGGGAAGAGAGAAGGGAATAAAACAAAGAGTAAGCGTTAACGCCAAAGACTTGCCCAAGGTCACTGAGCTAAGAATGTCAAACATGAGTTTCAAACACACTTGATTTCCACTCCAAGATGTTTTCCTCTCACAGAGAAAACACAAAGCCACTCATCCCGGAATGCAGACGGGAGTGGCTGCTGGTAAAGGCCATCTGCTAGCAGCTGCTCCGGGGCAGGCTGGATAAGGACAAGGACAAGCCAGCCTCCATCAGGAAGGCGGGATTGGCATCCTCCTCCTGAAGTCCCCAAATGACCTGGAAAGACCACAACTCCCTGGGAAACAAAGCTATTCTGTGTGTCAATCCATCCCCTTCCCTGCCAAGGCCAAGATCCAGTTTTCTGATAGCTTTAGCCTCATTCCTGGCTCAGAGGCCCTGGCTGAAGGCCCGGTGTGTAATGCTCAGGCTCGCTATCTGCCTGTGAAGGCCAGAGTTCTTTCCACAACCTCTGCAACTTCCACGGAATAGGAAGTGCTCCCACGTGAACGGTTAAAATGCCACATCCACACCACCTCTGATGAAGCTTATTTAAGCAAATCTCATACAGTGATAGGTCTGGAAGCCACCTTGGAGTTCCTGGGATGAAAAGGAACCAGGGAAATGAAAATGAACCGGATTCAACCTTGGGGATTGCTCAGCACAGAAGGAAGGGAGGGAGGGGGACTGCACCTCTCTCTTCCTAGCTGGGAGGGGGACGCTGCTGTTTGCTCTTGCAGAGCTCAAACACAAACCACAAAGTGTGTTTTAGCTCTTCCTGGTGTGTATAATGTTTGTGATGGCACTGCTGAAAAAGACAAAGGACAGTCCTTTGTCCTGGTGTCTTCTCTAGAAATGTTCCCTATAAAACAAGCATAATTTATTTAATTAATTCATTTATTTGCAGTGCTGGACATCAAACCTAGGGTCTCAAGCATGCTAGATAAGCACTCTACCACGGAGGCTGCCTATAACTCTAAAACTCTTTATTACCATAAAGGTAGAGATACTTAAGTATGAAGATTTCTTAATTCATTTATAGATATTTTTTCATTTTAAATGCCATTTGGTATGCCTTATGTAAAGAAATAGCCAGATGGGTGAGTTGGCACACACCTGTGGTCCCAGCACTCAGGAGGCTGAGTCAGGAGGGTTGCCATGAGGTAGAGGTCAGCCTGGGCTACATAGTGTGCTCAAGGCCAGGCTGGACTACATAGTGAGACTCTTGTCTTTTTTTTTTTTTTTTTTTTTTTTTTTTTTTTGAGACTCTGTCTCAAAAGGAAAAGACACATACAGGTAGACCACCAGCATCCCAACTAAATCTTGGTTTTTCCTTCCCCTTTAAAAACATCTTTGAAAGTCTCTTATCTGAGTCAATTTTGGAATCCGCAACCACAATCCAGCCCATGGCAGCAGTCTCTGAGAGTCAGGAAAGAGCTTTCTGCTGAGAGGTGCTGTTTTCCAGGAAGGTTAATGGTGTTCTCCCACGCACCTCATACTCTGCTCTTCCTAACCAAGTCCTAAATTGGGGAAACTGAGAATTTTTTCACAACTCACTCTTCCTTCCTGAACAAGGACTTATTTGCCCTAGGACCATCAATGTTCCCCTCCATAACTGCTGATCTTCCTCCATCCACCTCCCTTCCTCTCTAATGCTAGGTCTTTGACATGCAATCTTTTTTTGCGGTACCAGGAATTGAACTGAAGACCGTGCGCTTGCCAGGCAAGTGTTTATTCTACTGAGCTATCTCCCCGGCCCTGCAATCTTTTAATACTACAAGCCCTATGGTTTTCAGTCCCTACCACAACCATCAACTTGAAGGCTTTCTGTGAGGGAATAGGGTATAGCTCAGTGCAGAGGCGTCCTTGTCGCAGCCCAAGAAGTTTGTATTTGTAATGCCATGAAGTTACTGGAATTCTAGCAAGTTAATGCCAACCTACCACTTCCCAGTGCAACCCGTGGTGAAAATCAAGACCCTGAGGCACATCTGTAGTTATGGGGAGCCAGAGGGTCCAAAGTCCAGGCACCATGATGGCTATCAGGAACGAAGGCCTCCGCCCTTGGCCAAGCCTGGGCTTTATTAATTCTGAAGAAAGCAGTGGCTTGAGGATGAGGGACTGTGAGACTGGCAGGCAGTAGGTGAGGGCTGCGAGCTGGGCTGGGTGGAAGGCCCGAAGCCACCTCTGCGAGATGCAGAGAGAGGGCCGTGCAGAGGGAGTAACCTGCATAGCACAACTGAGGTAGCGCCTAACGTTTAGGGGCTGGCGCTTCAGCTCTGAGGTGCAGTCTTTTTTTTTCAGAACCAGGAATTGATCTCAGGACCTTGCGCTTGCCAGGCAGGTGTTTGTTCTACTGCGCTATCTCCCAGGACTGAGGTGCAATCACCCTTTAAGCCCCAGGAAGCCATAGCCTCTGTCGCCAGACTCCACCCCACCTCATCTGGCTCACACAAGGGAACAATGGGTGAGGGATCTGGGGAAACACGGCCTGACTCCTCACGGACATCAGCACTGAGGCTGGACCAGTATGCATTGCTTAAAGCCAACTGAAGGGATAAGGAAAAGTCGTAGCCACCTCACACATGGCAATATATCAGGGCCAAGCACCTGCTTAGAATGTGTAAGGCCCTGGGTTTGACCCCCAGCACTGCAAAATAGACAAGGGGTATATTTTTAAAATATACACCATTGACAAGACAAATAATCAAACTATGATCTATATCCTTGATTTTATATATACAGTATGTATACTTTCCCTAGTGCTGGCAATTGAACCCAAGGCTTTGTACATGCTAAGGATGTGCTCTACCACTGAGCAACACCCCAGCCACTCCTGGTTACCCTTATGTCCCTGTATTCAAATACCCACCTGCTACCCCATGTCCCCAGTGTCCTCCTCAAGGACTACCCACACATCCCCTCACAGGGCAAGGA